GAGCTGTGGAAATCTCCAGACAGATCCACTTTTCATTCCTGACAGGAGAGCACAGGCATCTACAATAATCTAACAAAACTGTCAGGCTGGGGAACAGCAGAGCAAATCCTATCAGAGATCAGCTTGGGAAGAGATAATTATTTAGGTTGTTAGAAAAGAGTCAGACATGGACAATACGGCAACACAAACTAACTTGTCGCTCTTGCAGGAATTGTTGTCATCCCAGGAACATCCCAGTTGTCAGCCAAGGACATCCTGTACCGGCTGCAGGCATCCCAGGCCACGTGCATCATCACCAGTGACAAAGTGGCTCCTGCTGTGGACTCGGTGGCCTGGCAGTGCCCGTCCCTGCAGAGCAGGCTGCTGGTGTCCCAGCACAGCAGGGACGGGTGGCTGAGCTTCCCTGAGCTCTGCAGGTCAGAGTGTCCCCAGAGCCACGGGACAGAGCAGCTCTGCTCCCTCAGGAGCCATCACACCACCCGTGACACCACAACTGTCCTTTGTCACAGGAACCAACCTGCTGAGCACCCCTGTGCCCAAACCAGCATCCAGGACCCAATGGTTATCTTCTTCACCAGTGGAACCACAGGCTCTCCAAAGATGACTCTGCATTCCCAGGGCAGCCTTGGTTTCAGACCCCTCCTMAGTGAAAGGTAGGAAAGGTTTGAGCTGCTTGAACATGGGACAATTGCAGCTGCACTGTAGAGGTTCTGTAARAAATTACTGSAAAGGAAATACCAGTGTGCATCCCYAGTCYTTCTYCCTCTGAAATCAGGGTAAAACCCCATCACATTTCCAGGGAGTGGGATCATCCACAGTGTTTCAATTGCTCTCTTTCTGGAGTGGTTCAAAGGACAGCCATTTCCAGGGAGACTGTAGCACCAAGAGCCAAGAGATCCCATCATTTCTGGGCTGCAAAAGGCTTTGTGTTGTGTGTGGATGCCCAGAGGCACCGTCTGTTGGTGGTTGTTGTGTGTGGATGCCCAGAGGCACTGTCTGTTGGTTGTTGTTGTGTGTGGATGCCCAGAGGCACTGTCTGTTGGTTGTTATTCTGTGTAGATGCCCAGAGGCACTGTCTGTTGGTTGTTGTTGTGTGTGGATGTCCAGAGGC